TGGCTGTTACTGTGTACAATGTTCTCCTGGTTCTGCTCACTTCACTCAGCATTAGTTCATGTGAGTCTTTCCAAGTTTTTCTAAAATCCACCTGCTCATCATTTCTTATAGCAAAATAGTATTATACCACAAATTGTTCAGCCATTCCCCAATCGACAGGCATCCTCTCCGTTTCCAATTCTTTGATACCACCAAAGGAACTGTTACAAATATTTTTGTACATGTGGGTCCTTTTCCCTTTTATAAGGTCTCTTCGGGAACTAAAATCCCTTTGTCCTTATGCAAAGGATTAGTTGAAGATTCTACTTACTACACTTCAGCAAACTTTGACTAAGTTCCTAGTACACATAGTGCTGGAACAAAGAGAAACCGCTGTGATTACTGCCCACAAGTTGTTTACAATCTAGCTGGGAGAATGAGGTAGGTTTAGATCACTTTAATGCAATATGGAATTTAAATGCATAGAAGAGGTACAGGTAAACTTCTTTAAGATTAGGGGATCATAGCTTTAAAGATGAAAAAGAAACTTAGAGCTCATCTAGACCAGGGGTTTTTGATTTGTTTTGCGTCGTGGATCTCTTCTGGTGAGCCTATGGGCCTCTTCTTAGAATAATGCTTTTATATGATTGAAGGAAATGCTAACTTTAAGTTAGAAGTTAGGGAAAATAAATATATTATCTTCCCCCCAACTTATTAATTAATTGATTTAAAACCTACTTCATGTGTCCTCTCAGCTTTGTCCTTCTAGGCTGAATACTATTTTTAAAATAGGACTTAATTTTTTCCAATTACGTGTAAAGTCAATTTTAAACATTCCTTTTTAAAAGATGTTTGAGTTCCAAATTTTTTCCCTCTCTCTCTCTTGTTCCCTCTTCCTAAAATAGCAAACAATTTGATATAGGTTATATATGTGCAATCATATAAAATATATTTCCATATTAGTCATATTATGAAAGAGGAAACAGACCAAAAAAAAAAACCATGGGAAAAACAATAAAGAAAGTGAAAATAGGATGCTTTGATCTGCATTCAGGCTTCATCAGTTCTTTCTCTGGAGGTGGACAGCATTTTCCATAATGAGTCCTTTGGAATTGTCTGGGATCATTGTATTGCTGAGAGTAGCTGTCATTCACAATTGATAATCATACAATATTGCAATTACTCTGAACAATGTTCTCCTGGTTCTGTTTGCTTCACTTTGCATCAGTTCATCGAATGCTATTATTTTTTTTCCTTTCTTTCTTTCTTTCTTTCTTTCTTTTTTTTAGGCAATTAGGGTTAAGTGACTTGCCCAGGGTCACACAGTTAGTAAGTGTCAAGTTTTTGGTCAGAGGCCAGATTTGAACTCAGGTCCTCCTGACTCCAGGGCTGTTGCTCTGTGCAAACACTATTATTTTTGAGCCTGTCTTTCTAACTGAAGTCAATTCCATATTTATTAAGCAGCACTTCCCCTCACCACCCTCTTAGAAACTAGCTAGCTTTCTTCAAAGATCAATTCGAGTTCAACCTCCTATAGAAAGTCTATCCTATCATAGATTCCACTGCCATCTATTGAGGTAACTCTTAGATACCAGGTTAAGAACTCCTAATGTAGACTAGCATCTTTATTTTACAGATAAGGAAATTGAGATTTAATGAGGTTAAGTGACTTGCCCAACATTATGTAACGAATAATTAGTGGCAGGATTTGAACTTAGTACTTCCAGAGTCCAAGTCTCACATGCCACACTCCCTCTATAGGGAAAGACAGCAGAGTTCACTTCCAACTGGGGAAAAAAGGAAGGTTTTAGTATTTGACTTTAGATGGGTAGACACCATCCCGGCTTGACATTGTCCCATATCGCTCTTCTCCTTTGTGGCTAAACTCCTTGAGAAAGCCAACTACACTAGGTGCTTCCAACACCTCTTCTCTTACCCTCTTCTAAACCCTCTGCAGTTTGGCTTCCCACCTCATCATTCAACAGAAACTGACCTGTCCAAATTTACCATCTCTTATAATCTTTATAATCTTTTAATTGCCAAATTTAATTTTCTCAATTCTCATCTCTTTTGTTTTGTTTTGTTTTTTGCTTTTTGGTGAGGCTGTTGAGGTTAAGTGACTTGCCAAGGGTCACACCACTAGTGTCAAGTGTCTCTGGCCGGATTTGAACTCAGGTCCTCCTGACTCCAAGGCTGGAGCTCTATCCACTGAGCCACCTAGCTGCCCCTAATCCTCATCTTTTTTGACCTCTCAGTAGCATGTGCCACTGTTGATCACCTTCTCCTCTTAGATATTCTTTACTTTCTGCATTTTTGTGACACTGGTCTTTCTTGATTCTCTTCCAATCTCTCTAGCTGCTCCTTATCAGTCTCCTTTGTTGCTTCCTCATACATGTCATGCCCAATAATCATGAGTGTTTCCCAGGGCTCTGTCTTCGGTTCTCTTCTTCCTCTATACTATCTCAGTTGGCAAATTCATCAGTCCCATGAGTTCAACGATCATCTCCATGCAGATGATTCCTAGGTCCATATATCCAGCCATAGTCTCTCTGCTGAGCTATAGTCAAGCATCTCCAACTGCCTCTTGTTACATCTCCACTAGATGTCCTCTAGGCTCATTATGTTTCTCCCCAAACCTTCCCCCCCTTCCTGTTATACTGTCTTATTATTCCCTGTTAATGTCCAGGGCACCAGTATCCTCTCAGTCACCCAGACTTAAAACCTTGGTATCATTCTCATATATTCTACATATTCAATCCATGGCCAAGTCTTGTTTCTACTTTTCACAAAATCTCTCATATACTTCCCCTTTTCTCCACTCATATAGCTACACCCTTATTCAGTCCCTCATCACCTCTTACCCAGACTATTACAGTAGCCATCTAACTGGTCTTCCTGCTTTAAATCTCTCTGTTCCAACTCATCCTCTACTCAGCTGCCAGTATAGGTCTGATCATGTTATCCCTGGTTCATTGAGCTCCAATGGCTCCTTCTTTCTTCTGGATGAAATATAAACACCTCTCTTTGGCATTTAAAGGCCGTGTCTTGGCCCCTTCCTACCCTTCCAGTCTTGTTACTCTTGACTCCATGAACTCTGCATTCCAGAAACACTGGTCTTCTTGCAGTTTCTCTAACATTGCCAATATTCACTAACATTCTATCTTCCTGACTTTGCACTTGCTGTTCCCGATGCTTGTAATTATCTACACTATCACCTCAGCGTTTCTCTGGCTGCTTCCAAGCCTCAGCTCAAATCCCACCTTCTGCAGGCCTTTCCTAGTTCCCCCACCCCCCAACAGGTGCTAGTTTTTCCCTCTTTGTAGTTCCTCCCACTCTGTACACGTGTTGTAGATTATCAACCTAGTTGCTGATATGTTGTCTCCGTCATTAGAATGTGAACTCCTTGAAGGCAGGGACTGTTTTAGCTTTTCTTTGTATCCTTAACCCTCAGCATGGTGCCTGGCACAGAGTAAACACTTAATACATTTGCTTGTTGACAGCCTGAACAGGTGTAAATGGAGGTGGGGTTTGAGGCTATTTTAGGACAGAGAGAATAGCCTCACTTTTACCTCTGGAGCCTTCTGGGTCCAGTGACCAGATATAGATCAGGATGACAGGAGATGGCCCAGAATGCAGTGGGAGGCCTTGGTCTTTTCAAGCTAAGGTCCTTAACAGGTCTCAGTTTGATCCAGGTAAAGCCTATTCAAGGGATTAAGGTATAATAAGGTGTGAAGCAAAGAATGGCCTCTTAAAAAAAAATAGATCTGGGAGGGTCTGGCCAAAATAGAAATAATTGATATTTACATTCATTCTAAGCCAATCAGGTCCCAAACCACAACCAAATAGGGCTTGGCCTGGGAGCTATTATTGGCTAGTTAGTGAGAGCCAGAGTGATTTGGGATTGACACTGGTCTTTAAGAGAAAAGAATTTTTAAAAAGTTTCAGAGATTAAAATTTTTCTTTCCCTTTAGGGAGAGCACTGGAAGGTCAGGATGTGATACCCTATGTGGACTGTGGGAAAAGAATTAGGGTTTGGGGCGATAACAGATGGTCTCTAAATTCTCTTCTATCTTAGAAAGTGTTTGATAATATGCATGGACTAGAAATCAAATCAAACAATGACCTGCCCCACTTTAAGCCCAGAGGAAGAGCAGGAAATTGACCCTCTAGAGACTCAGACTGGAAAATAGGTGGTTGGAGCAGCTAGGTGGCTCGGTGGATAGAGTACCGGGCCTGGAATCAATCCAGCCACACACATTCACTCGATATATCACCCTGGGCAAGTCACTTAACCTCGGTTTCCCTTAATCCACTGGAAGAGGAAATGGCTATGGTTCACTGGGTCATAAAGAGTGGGACAGGACTGAACAGCAAGAGTAGCCCTAGCTGCTGATCAAGGACATCCAGCTCTTACATTCGTAGGATTTATCTTCAGATCATCTAATCCAACCCCTGCACGATATGTGTGGGGAAACTGTTGCCCAAGGCCACTGCTGCATGTGGCAGTCAGCATTCCAATCCACATCTCCTCTGACTGGAAAGCTAGTCGTCATAGCAATTCTACAACTCTGGGATTACTGTTGCTTCTCCCTCTAACAAGGCCGCTGTCCACATTGGGGACCCCAAAATTGAGACCCACTAGAGAGACTACAGGACTGAAGTCTGGGGGAGCTTACTTAGCCAGGGGTGGGGGGGCGGGGGGCGGAGAATGTACCAGATGTGCCTCTGGGCGGCCCCCAGATGTGTCCCTCCTCCCTCCCTCACCCGAACGCGTCGGATTGGCCAGGCTGCCTATCGCGCCCCAAGTTCTCTCGCCATTGGCTAGGACCGCCCCTGGAGCGGGCGCTGATTGGCTGTGACGCGCAGGGGTCCGGGCGAGGCCCAGTCGCGGCGCCGCCGCCGCTTCGGCCCCAGCCAGTTCATCGGGACACGCGATCGCTCCATGCAGTTCTGCGGGCCGGAGCTGCTGCGGCGCTAGAGAGCCGGGGAGGGGGCGCGGGGGCGAGGCCAGGACCGGGGCCATGGCGAGCGCCGCGGGCGGCGGGGAGGAGGAAGGCGGGGAGCGCGGGTGTCCGGGGCCCGACGAGCGTTCGGAGCCGGGACGCTGCCCCGAGGGGGAGGAAGCGGCGGCGGCAGCGGACGGCGGGGGCCGGCGCTGGGGAGCGCAGCACGCAGGAGCCCGCGAACTGGCCCAGCTCTACTCCCCAGGTAGGACAGACAGACTGACGGGCCCCTTCTCCGGCCCGGCGCGTGCATCCCGCCCCTGCCAGGATCCCTGACCTGGTCCGTCCCCCTTCCCCGTCTGCATTCCCATCCCCATCCCCATCCCCGCAAAGCGATCCTCCCCCCCAGCCTGCTCCTCTCCTGGGGTAGGGACGACAGCCCCAGCCTAGAACCTTCCCACCGCGGTATTCGCCCTTCGAGCCTTTCAGGGACCACCGAAAGATCCTCTTAGCCCTTGGCTTCTCCCAGCAGTAACCCTTAATTAAGGGGTTTTCTTGGGGGTAAGAAGAGAGGAGAAAATGATTGATGTCCTGGGCCTTCTAAAATCTGGCGGGACCTAGCATTAAATAACTGCAAGCCCTTACCCACCCTGGGATTCCCCAGCCCCAAAGAGGTTCAGGTGTTTTGTAACTTGTGTGATGAGAATCCAGTGCTTGTCCGCAGCATGGGAGGTGTATGTGGGAGAGACATTGTCTTTCTTCCCTGTCTCCAGGTGGGGCCTTTCTTGGTTTGTTCCCCTAAAGGCCTGAAGTTCAGCTTTTCCAAGATTCCAACCATCCCTCTTTCCCCTATGCCCAGTTTAGACAAGGGAGACCCCTCCCCACGCCCACCTCCAGTGGACTTGGGCCTCCTTCTAGCTCATGTGCTCTTTTTACATTCAGGGGACTCACAGATTCTACCCTTCTATCAAAGGGCAACATCAGCATCTCCAATGCCTCTAATTCAAATGCTTCAACTCTTATTCCTTAGGTCCTTTTACCTTTCTCCTTCAAGATCTTCCTACCTAGAGATTTCCAAAGCTTTGTCATCTTTGTGCTGGGGACCCTTTCTACTTCCTTCGTTAAGGGGATTACAGCCCTGTGTCCCCACGAACCCCCATCCTCTCCATTCTTTGGCCTTTGCTCTAGGCCTAACTCTTTTCCCTATTCAAAGCCCCTGGGGTTCTCTGGCTTTTCTCCCAGCAAATCTCAAGTGATAGAATTGTGATACCTAAATGAGGGGAGAAGGAAGTTGGCAGGGTGCTACTGGCATTTCACAGGCTAGATGATTGCATTCCTTCCCCTGGAGGATGATGGGGCTAGTGCTTTAATAAAGGCATCATGACATTTGGTCAGGTGGCCAAACAGTTCCTTCCCTATCATGCCCAAAGCTGAAACCTTCAGAGTTGCCACTGCAGTGAGACAATCCTTTGTTTGCAAAATGCCTTGTCATTTTTTTCCCCTCGTTGCTTCATCATCTAGATTAATTGGGCATCTGCTGTACATAAGAGGTCTGTGTTAGCTGTTGTGCAAAGCAGGGCCTCTACATGGGTTGGTATCAGCCCCCCCCCCGTTAATGGCACAGCTCCTCTTATTCAGCTTAGGAGCCCTGAGGCATGTCTGGACTGCCCCAAGTTCATAGGGTCACTCAGAGGTAGACTGATGCTGGTGTGCCCCTCCTCATTATTGTGGTTGTGGTGAAAATAAGTGCTTTGAAAACTGTAAATCTCTAGATATGCTAGGTGTTTTCTCCAAGCTCTGTGAGGCAAGGGCTGTGTCTTATCTCCTTCAATGCTCAGCACAGTGTTCTGGGTATAATGGTGCTTAGAATGAATGAATGAATGGTTGAATAAATGAGGTGAGAGCCCCCAGCTTTCTTTTGGACTGATCACTAACCTTTAGTTTTGAATAGTGGAAAGAGCACAGAATTGAAAGTCTGGAGACCCAGGTCCTAGGCCCAGCTTTGCTATTAACTAAATGAATGACCTTGGGCCAAGTCCTTTGTTCTTTCTGAGCTCAGTTTTCTTTATTAAAGAGAAGAATTTGGACTACGTACTATCTGAAGTCCCTTCTCTCAGGAACTATTCTATGATTCTATGATTATTGAGCCCTGACCTTCGGCCACCATTCTCCAGCCTAATTACAATACCTCCTTCCTCCTATATCTCTCCACCCTCACGGAATGCACACGTCCCTTTCCCCAGGGCAACACGCCGAACTCTGCACTTTGGCCATCTATCTGGTGACAGACCACTGTTCTCTCCACTTTAAATCCTACCTGAACTCTGACTTTTCTCTGACCCTCCTGAAGGGAAGCACCAATTTGTCTTCCTCCCCTCCTCACCCAACTTCCTGGTTACTGCATATCTTTTGCTTTGACTGCTACCCAAGTAGCTGGACATCTGATTTCATCGAGCACAGTGCCTAGTAAGGGCCCAACTCATAAAAAATGGCTCTGGTATGTTTGCGCAGCCCTCATCACCAGACCTGATGTCCCAGACTCCAGGGACCAAGATAAACTTGAGAGAAATCAGAGCGAGCAAGGCTAGGGCAGAACTAGAATGGAAAATGTGGTGTTAGTATTTGCTCCTGACTTCTGGTCTCTGGTTAGTCTGGTTTCTCAGAATTCTTTTTAGTAAGGTCTCCATCCTGATTGTGACTTTTTTCCTGACCTTGAGATTACTTTGTGGTTAGGCAGCCCTTGGGCCTGCAGATATTCCTATGGAACAGAGTAGGAGATGAGCTTTAAAATCCTATTTCCCCATTTCCTCTAGAGCACCTATTTTTGGCAGGGGTTGGAATAAAGGAGATCTATGACCCAGAATGCTGAAAGGCCTAAGGAAACACTTTGTAGTTTATCTTCCTGACACAAGCCAGTGTGGGTGATGAGCAAGCTAGATTACCCCTTATGCCCCTGGAAGACCTCTTTCTGCCACTAGCTTTCTGTTTGACTTTGGGCAAGTCAGTTTCCACGCTCTGGGCCTCCCTGTTCCCTATAAAATGAAGGATTGAACCAGAGAATCTATTTCTTTCTTTTTTTTTTTTTTTGCTTTTTGGTGAGGCAATTGGGGTTAAGTGGTATGCCCGGTGTCACACAGCTAGTGTCAAGTGGCTGAGGCCAGATTTGAACTCAGATCCTCCTGACTCCAAGGCTGGAGCTCTATTCAGTGCTCCACCTAGCTGCCCCAGCATTAATATTTTGCCACAGTCTGAGGTATGGACTGGGCAGGTCAGTATGGACAGGATTTTCATGACCATGCTAGGCATGGAACCAAGGGACCCCTTTCTGCACTGCCACTCTGTAAAGGCAGGGTGTTGGCTGGCAGCTGGCCCTTTGCTCCAACTCTCCAGGCAGCTAACAGGCTGGGAAAATCAGCTCTCCTGCCACACAGTATGGTGAGGACCCCAAGATCGTACCATAGGAGTCATGGAATCATAGTCAGGACCAGAAGGGATGATAGTAGAATGTTATGACAACTGTGGAAATCATCTCTTATAATCTTGATCTGAAAGGCTCAATTCAGTTATTACCTTCTACTTGAAGCCTTCCCTAAACCTTTCCCAACCCTCTTCCCTCTCCTCTCTCCCCCTCCCCTCCCAGTTAAGTGTTCACTCCCTCCTGAGTTGTTCAGTCAGCTTGACCTCTTGGGGTGGGGGTGGGTGTGCTGGAGGGAGGTTCCTTGGTAGACATACTGTGGTGGTTTGCCATTTCCTTCTCCAGCTCATTTTACAGATGAAGAAACTGAGGCAAACAGGGTTAAATGATTTGTCCAGAGGCACATAGCTAGTAAGTGCCTGAGACTGGATTTGAACTCAATCCTTCTGACTCCAGGCCCAACACTCTTTGCACTGTGCCACATAGCTGCCTGTATTATTTACCTGGTGCTATATTTATTCGAGGTCAGAGACTAATTCAATTTTGTTCTGTATCCTCAGCAGCTTTGAGGATATGGTGCTTTGCACATAGGCCCTCGCTTGTTGAAGCCACTCACTCATTTTTCAGAGGAGGAACTTCATTCAGCAATATCTTAAGAGGTTACCAAACATGCTAGGCTTTTGGTGAGGGTAAAGAAAGAAGGTGTGTAGCAAAGGGCTGGCTAGTTCTAGCCTGACCCCCTTTTTCCTAGGATCCCTAAAAGGTTAGTTCATTTCTGCCATAGAGATGGAGGGGATGGTCCTGGGCCTGACCTTTAAACTCAGACTTCTGTGTTAGTCCCAGGACTGCTCTGCTTTCCAGTCAGACGTTACCTACCCCTTGGGTGAATGGTAGAAGTTGGAGAATGTACGGAGTGGTGACTGTGTGCTTTATTTTTCTTCCCTAATGGGAGAATTTTCATAGGAGTAGGAGGGAAGCTCTTGATGACTTGCCTGGCTGGTGTTTCCTAGGTTAGAGTTTGTTTTGTGTTGTTTACACAAGTCTGACCCTGGGGTTCCCAGGTACCTCCTCTCCCCTCCTCCCTCTAAACATTGAAACCTCCATTGCTGTCAGGCCTAGATCTGTAAGTGCTTTGAGAGTGTTTGGCCACAGCAGGGATGAGAAACCTAGGTCTCAGCCTCTAGGGAGTGAATGAGTACCTTGGTTCCCTGTTTCACCTTGCTTTCCATCTTCCTGCAGTAGGCAGTTTCCCTATGACTGGACCCGAGGCCAGCCCAGCCCTCAGCTTCATGGGGATTTGAAACACTGACAGGAAGGAGCTTCCAGAGGAAATATGTTGGTGACTCATCTGAGTTTCTCCACTCCTTGGGACTGGGAGGGTTATATGTTTTTTGTTCAGTCACCAGGAGGGTAAAGCAGAGTCAGTGAAACAAAAGTGAAGCCTCTTGTCCCAAGGTGCTACTTCTATTGACCGCTGCAGGACTCTGCTGCAGGTAGATGGACCAGGTGATCTTGGAGGTCCCTTCCAACCCTGAAATTATGTGAGACAGCATGTTCTAGTAAAAGAGGATTGGTTTTGGAGTCAGGAGCTAGGTTTAATTCCCAGCCCTGCTAATTACTGCCTGTGTTCTTGGGCAATTAAACTTACCTCTCTGGACCTCAGTTTTCTCATCTGTTCAGTGAGGGAGTTGTACTGGATGAAGTCTAATATTTCTTCTAGTTCTAAATCAGATGATTTTCTGAATGACAAGTGAGTTGAGGCCAGGAAGGAGAGGGTATATTTTGATAGGGAGGACATCAGACCCAAAGCTCCTCTTCCCGCCTTGTTATGGTCAAACAGCTACTGCTTC